AAATCAGAAAACTCATAAAAAAATCTATTAACTAATAATGTGGCTTCATTAATTACACTTTCAGATAATACCTTATTGTTCAACGTAAAAACAATATTAGATAAAAGAGTAAAATGGTCAAAAAACTGAAAAGGCAAAACATCACATAAAATAACAGGACCATAAAAAACTAAAAAAGTAAAAAACTCAATACCTTTCCAATGCTTTATACAACTTAATGATCATCGAGTCTGTCACACATGTTTTTATGCTGTTTGTTTATGTTTAAAATATGAAAATAACTGCATTTCTTATAAAGATAGGATAATGTAAAATATTTCAAACATTTTGTACATTGCTTATTAGTACTTAAAGCAACTTCACAAATATATATATATATATATATATATATATATATATATATATATATATATATATATATATATATATATATATATATATATATATATATATATATATATATATAAATTAGTAAAAACACTTATCTAATTTTTATTTTCTTCTATAGCTTGTTTCTCCATCAGTTGGATCATCAGAAAGATTCCTTCCTGATGATCCTACTGATGGAGAAACAAGCTGTAGAAGAAAATAAAAATTAGATAAGTGTTTTTACTAATTTATTATTGCTCTGTTCTTTAAGAACGTTGAGCACTCTATTTGTAGAATACACTAACATATTATATATATATATATATATATATATATATATATATATATATATATATATATATATATATATATATATATATATATATATATATATATATACATATATATATATATATATATATATATATATATATATATATATATATATATATATATATATATATATATATATATATATATATATATATATATATATACTGAGAGAGAGAGAGGGATATATATTATATATCCCTCTCTTTCAGCGAGAGAGAGAAACAGATTGTTATTTATTATTTTTAATATAAAATACTTAATCATAAAGACATTTATAAAAATTATTTTTATAAAATAATAAAGTTGAATTTAATAAATAAAATGCATTCGCATAAAGCGAATGCATAATAAACAATACTTAAGAGAAATAAACATTTTGAGCAACATACCAGATGATTTTGTTTTGTAACTTGAGTAGAACTAATAATAATTGAAACTCACACTATAGATCATCTACTAGATGCAAAAAATAAAATAAAAAGGATTACTTTTATACAAAAATTTGAAATATTATTTTAAGAAGCTATATTATCAATTTTCCAAGTTTTAACTGCTTGCAGAAGTTGTAACAGCAACGCTTTTTACATCACCGCGAAATATTTCGCAAGAAACCCAGTAAACTTCCAGCGAACTTTAAGATCACTGGAAGTTTTTCGTTGGATTTCCAGCGAACTTCCAGCGAAGTCTTTTGTTTCCATGGAAATCCAGCGATCTTAGTAAATTTCCAGTGATCTTTTAATTTCCAGCGAACTTTCGCTGGAAGTTCGCTGGGTTTTTTTGTAAGGGAGGCTTTATTATCATTTACTATCAAATAATATTCCGTACAACAAACAATTTGGGTTTTAAAAAATCATTCTACGGATCACGCAGTAATTGAGCTTGTAAACCATATATCGGATGCTTTTGATAAAGATTATTTTATCTTAGGAGTTTTCATTGAATTATCCTAAGCATTTGACACTGTCAATCAAGAAATCCTTATAAAAAATTAGAACTTTATAGAGTAAACAACTTAAACTTACTTTGGTTTAAAAACTACTAGGCTAACAGAAAACTATGCCTAACCTATGAAACAAATGAAACCAAAAAAAAAAACTTATAAGTTGCGGGGTTCCTCAAGGATCTATCTTAGGACCATTATTGTTTCTAGTGTATATAAATGACTTATTTTTAGCATCTAAAAAATTATATCTTATATTGTTTGCTGAGGTAGTGCGAATTACGGAAAATTCAAAAAACTTTGTAGTAAACAAAAGCATGCTTGTAGGATTATATTTGGGGCAAACAGAAATGTTTATTGCTATTAAATCGTCTCAAGGCCTTAAACATTTATAAACTAAACATTTACCAAACATTACTTTTCATGTTTAAAATGAAACATGGAGTATCTCCACTTATATTTTTATCTTATTTTAGCAAAATATCTCATAAGTATCCAACAAAGTTTTCAGAGGATAACTTTATTATTCCGAGAATTAATTTAAAAATAAGTTCTTATAGAATTCAATATCGAGGACCTTTTATATGGAAAAATTTTATTAAAAACTTTAATAAAAATTTTATTAAAAACTTTAATAAAGAACACAACTCTTTAGAAAAATTTAAAACAGTTTCTAAAAGGATCTTTTTTCAATTAGATTTTAATTCAATAGACTTTAAATTTTTTTTAAAGGTAAGTTTAAAATAGAAAAATTGCTTCCATTAGCACTAAATATATTTTGTTATATGTATCAAATATATTTGTATTAATATGCAAAACTTTCTTTATTTTTAAATTTTTAATATAATTGTTGTTTTAATATTTGACAAAAGTTATGTACTTTTTAACGTTTTTTTTTGTATATTTTATTCATATTTGTTTATAAACACGGACATTTTGTAAACGGGGCTCGGTGATAAGAGAATCATTGTCTTCCTCTTGCTCCCGTTAATTTTTATAAATGTGATATGTCTTCTGATAATATGAATACGCTAATTTAATATTATTATTAGTCGAGTTACGTCATTTTCTAGGCTTTTCTATACGCGGTTTTTTTTTTAATTTTATTTACTAATAACGCGTATTACGGGTTGCTTACTGCTAGTTATTGTAAATATAAGAAACGGCAAAAAAAATAAAAAATTAAAAAAAAAAAAAAAATTGCTGTGGATCTGGGTTGGTAAAAATGAAGGTTCCATGGTTTGGATGTAGGTTGTAACTGAGCTAAAGAACAGGAGAATAAAACAAATATATGTAGAATGCTTTAATGGATTAAAAGGCTTTCCTGAAGCCATAAATAGCATTTATTCTAATACCATTGTATAACTCTCTATATTACAATGGTGAGGAATTCTGTAAAACATGTTTCTTATTAGGATTTAAAAGCGGTTACAGCGGATCTTAAAGGAATTTACACTGCGAACAGTGAAGAAATATGATATCTGGAGCCAAAATCATTTGCATCCAAATAAGACAATAAACACCCTGTGATCTCAAATATTTAGACAAAAAATTGGAGTGGGATTATTCCTCTTTTTGCTTTTCCAAGTCAATCATAAACTTTGTGTAAGTTCAATTTTTTACTTTCCAATAAATCATATTTAAAATCCCCGCAAAGTATTTCAAATTAGTTAAACGCTAATGGCCAGTCTTTAAGCGCCATAATCCATTTTCTTATTTTGCGAAATATCTCTTCTGGGTTTGCTTTTGATAATAATTTTTCTGATGAGATTAGGTGGGTCATTCATACTACCAATGCAATAGAATTAATAAATCGTCAAATCAGAAAAAACATCAACAAAAAAAGACGTCATCTTTATTGTTGATGATTAACAGGCGCCTTTAATGTTCCAAGCTCATATGGTTTTTTAGTACATTAAATACAGATTCAATTAGCGAGCGTTTACGTAACAGTATTTTATCTTCCAGTTCCAATAGATAATTCTTCATACTTTTGCGAACACCAGTGAATATTTTCAGATCCTTAGAGTAAAGTTTATTAAATAAATCATTGGATATATAACCTTTATCGCCAAATAATTTGCCAAATAACCTTTTTGTTATACGAGAAACAGCAGATAAATCACTGGCATTTCCCTTAGTAATTTTATTAGCCATATTTACTACTTTATTATTAAACTTGTCTGACGGGTATATCCGTCACTGCAAGGTATAGCTTTCTTTGTGTCTGACGTATAATAGCTAGTGAAACTTTTTTTTTTTTTTAATAAAACCTTTAGAATTTTCGGCACACTATACGAAAAAAAAGTTTACGACTTGAAATAATTTTAAACAAATATATTTTGCCGTAATAGAGAATGTAACTTTTAAATCTACGCTGCAGTTAAGGGGTTAATAATTAAATGTAATTTAAATCGCATAAACCATCCATAACTACTCATGTCTACTTTAGCAATTCTCTTAAAAACCCTATTGCCACTGTTGGTTTTCTGTGGCATATAGATAATTTGGTAAAATCAATAAAATATATACCGGAGCTATTCCCTTTTAATAATTGTAATATAATTACTAATGGTAGTATCAGTCTACACCACAGCTGGATTATTCGGCTATAAATTGGTAAAGCGAAATAACCTTTATATTTTTTTGATAGGTAATATAAGTAACAATTATTAAAATCCCGACAAGGCGTTAAATAACAATACTATATTATTGTCATTAGCTCGCAAAGGCCTAAACTACCATCTGTTTGACGTTTTTTGTTACTCGGTAACAACTTATTTTGTTACCAATCTAGATAAACTTTGCAAAAATTGTTAATAAAAAAATACAAAATTGTGAGTTAACGATCTTTTTGCTTCATAAACAAAATATGGTTTCAATAAAAGATCTTTTCATCAGCACAGGTAGGTAGAAATTTTTTATACCATAGCTCAAATTCTTTGTAAAAATCATAAACAATTGTAATATATATTCATTAGGGTAATCTCTTTGATAGAAAACACTAGAATACCCTAATACCTTTACCTATTCAGCTACTTTCATCTTCAAAGTCGGGGTTATATCTAACCTTTTCTTTTATTTTTTAATCTTAAACTGGCATTAAAGGTGATTTTTTAGATGACAAGTCTATTTTAAAAATCGTATTTTTGGCTCTAAAAAACGCTGCCAAAAAATGGACCATGCCGATTAAAAATTGGTCTTTGGCATTGAACCAATTTGAAATTTTATGCAGGGATTTTAAGCAGGATTTGCTGGAATTAAAAAATACAATTTATACAAAGTAAATAATTGACTCTTTACCCCTTGATTTAAAATGCTCTCCACATTATGTTGGCGCACACACAAAGTGTATTACAGACTCGAATAGAGTTTATGATTGACTAATTTTTGCACGTTCTTTACCCTTGGGCCTCAACGATTAGTGACAATAATGCTTACCTTATTCAGGACTAGGTAAATCCTGACTTGTTTTAGATAAGTCATTATCAACAAGCAGATTCATGTTTATATCATCCGAATTCACACTAGTACTAACAGCACTGGTAGTCAATAACTCATGAGCAAGTAAGGACAATAATTCCAGGCCTGTGGCATCATTTACTACACCATCCCCACCTTGATCCTTAACCGTTGCATTATATAAATAGCAGAATTCTTTTAATATTTCTAACTTATCTTCTAATTCAATAGCTTTTTGCTCCAACAAACAATGTAAAGGTGTTTTACCTTCGGCATTTTGGGCATTAATATTGGCTCCATACTGAAGTAATAGTTTTATTGCTTCTTTGTTTCCTTTATAATGAGCCATATGCATCGGAGTATTACCATCATACATTGGCTGATTAGCATCAGCACCTTTCTCTAATAACAACTTAACTATAGCCATATTTACCGGCTGTCTAAGGTATCCTAGAGAACAATATAAAGGAGAAGCTTGATCTTGCTCAGTATTAGGTTTATTAATGTCAACATTTCCTAAAAGTAATGCTGATACCATAGCAATATTTCCTATTTCTAATGCTTGTATTAATGGAGTGGTATTTATGAACGATGTATGATTAAGATCAACCCCATCAATAGCTATCTTTTGTACTTCAGTAATATTGTTTTCTGCTATTGCTAACCATAATTCAATACTTAACTGATTATGTTTTGTTAGTTCGGCTAACTTGTTACATATTGTTTGTTTGATTTCTAATTGTTCTTTTGGAAGAAAAATCAAGGCTAGTTTATATTCTTCTATCATTTTTGCTATTTGTTCTGTTTCATTACTGTTTTCCAGCGATAATGCCAAAGCAAAATGTACGTTAAAGTCTGTGAAATCTAATTCTTCTAAAACAAAAGAAAGAACTTTGTTTTTAATATTATGTTTGTTTAAATGATATTTATTGGCAAACGCAATAGTTATTTTTATTAAACTATTTATTATCACATTTACCTGACGATGATTCTGATATGCCGAGATTACTTGTAGAGCTTGGGTTTTATGCTTAATTGCCCGTTCGTATTCTCCTTTATCACTATAAGCATTTCCTAGATTATTTAAAGGGCTAACTACATCCGGATGAGGTTGGTCTTTATGGATGAGTTTGCTCATCTCCAAGCTTTCTTGATAATATTTAATTGCCCAATCATGTTCTCCTTTATCACTAAAAGCTGTTCCTAGATTATTTAAAGTAGAAGCTATAACCGGATGAGGTTGGTCTTTATGGATAAGTTTGTTCATCTCCAAGCTTTCTTTATAATATTTAATTGCCCGATCATATTCTCCTTTATCACCATAACCATTTCCTAGATTGTTTAAAGTAGTAGCTACATCCGGATGAGGTTGGTTTTTATGAATGAGTTTGTTTATCTCCAAGCTTTCTTCATAATATTTAATTGCCCGATCATATTCTCCTTTATTACCATAAGCATTCCCTAGATTATTTAAAGATCTAGCTACATCCGGATGAGGTTGGTCTTTATGGATGAGTTTGTTCATCTCCAAGCTTTCTTGATGATATTTAATTGCCCGTTCGTATTCTCCTTTATCACTATAAGCATTCCCTAAATTATTTAAAGAGCTAGCTACATCTGGATGAAGTTGGTCTTTATGGATGAGTTTTTTTATCTCTAAGCTTTCTTCATAATATTTAATTGCCTGATCATATTCTCCTTTATTCTTATAAGCAGTCCCTAGATTATTCAAAGAGCTAGCTATATCAGAATGAGGTTGGTCTTTATGGATGAGTTTGTTCATCTCCAAGCTTTCTTCATAATATTTAATTGCCCGATCATATTTTCCTTTATTACAATACGCATTCCCTAGACTATTTAAAGAGCCAGCTAAATTCGAATGAGGTTGGTCTTTATGGATGAGTTTGTTCATCTCCAAGCTTTCTTTATAATATTTAATTGCTTGATCAAATTTTCCTTTATTCCTATAAGCAGTCCCTAGATTATTTAAAATGCTAGCTACATCCGGATGAGGTTGGTCTTCATGAATATGTTTGTTCACCTCCAAACTTTTTTGATAATATTTAATTGTTCGATCATATTCTCCTTTAATACTATAAGCAGTCCCTATATTATTTAAAGATCTAGCTACATTCGGATGAGGTTGATCTTTATGGATGAGTGCTCTCTTTAAACAATACTCGAATTGCTCTATAGCTTTATCACCGTTGCCAAAAATTTTATATATACGTCCTAATGCATTTCTTATTTGTAAATTATTCCGATTATTTGGGTTATCTAACGCTATCTCTAAATTGTTTTGAGCTTTTTTATATTGTGCCAGTCTGTGATATATCAAACCTTTATTAGCAAAATCATCGTCATAAAAATTGTCACTCTTAAAAAATACGTGTTTATCTGCATTGCTTAATTTTTGCTCTTTATCACAAAAATCCTTTAGTTTCTCATGTAAAGGTAATGCAGTATAAAAGTACCGAAACAACTCTCCTTTCTCTCCTAAATCTTCTTCAGATAAATAGAATATCTGCTCATCTTGTTCTTTAAGTTCACCTTCAGCTTCATCCGGTTTAACAAATATAGACATATCTTCCTTCTGTGCTTTGTGGAGAGAATAGGTCTTTAATCTGAGAGTAGTTGCAAACGTCGTAGCATTTTTTAGATTAAGTGCTGCCAGTGAATTGATTATTCCTTTACCCTCTAACTTGTCTACCGTATCCCAAGCACTATCCCCCTCAATACTATAATACAGACCGAGATTATACACCATACGGTCAAGTAATCTGTAAATCTCCTCCTTAACGGCAATTAACCGACCTACAGTATCAAATAATCTAGGTTGCAACTTGTCAAGATCACCTTTATATTGAGTTTCTTTTGGCACCTCTAATTGTTCAAATCTATTCAAGTAATCAAGTTCCACCGCTCCTTTTATCAATATTTTAATCGCTCTTATTTGACAGTTTAGCATTCCTTTTTGGTTATCATCACTAGATTCGCTACTTAAAAACTCTGTAACTTTTGCTTGATAATCCTGTACTAACTTCTCTTCTCCGTATACATAGCAAACTTTCTCCAAAATATAAGGTAGAACCTTGTCTATATGAATTGTTTTATCTTTATCATTACGAACATAATTTAGCATCCAATCTATTGTTTTTATTAATTCATACGGTTTACCTTGATCTCTCCTACCTAATGGCGTCTTACCTCCTAGATCAAAGTTAACTGCTCTATGTACTAAGTGGCTCATATCCAGACCATATTTACTGGTGGGGATTATGCTCTCTCCTAAATTGATTACCTTAAAATGTGCGAGATGGCTTAAAGTCTTAAAATATTCTCTTATCTTTGGATCATCACTTTGTTTGTAATTCTCATTTTCTGTAAGGATGGCAAATTCTAAATCTGAATACGGTGTCATTTGTTTAAGTGCCATTGACCCTAAACCTATTACAGCGTAGTTACAAGGTGGCGTACCAATTTCATGTTCACTATCACAATATATTTTGGCTAAAAACCCTCGCATTTTACTAGCTATTGATTCAAACAACTTTCTTACTTCCTTTACATACGATTTCTGATATTGTTGTTTTTCCTCTTGGTTATTAATTGCTTGCTGACGATTATTTTCTGCTTTTCGTAATCCTTCTTCAGTATCTTTTCGTATTTCTGCCAATATAGCTTTATTATTAGTTAATTCTTCATCAACCTTACGACTGGTTTGTGGCCTGTTAATGTTAATTGCAGAAAATATTAACTGTTGTAAGTAATCTAATTGTTGATATGGATCTTCTATTTTATCTTTTACCAGTTCCTCTTTATCTTGAGCACTTAATTTTTTATTCTTATCATTTTTATTAATTATACTAATCACATACTGATAAAATAGTGCTGCATCTGTATAGTATTTAAGCTTATAGTTAGTATCTTTATTTAGCTCTCCTAGCTTTGTAGTCAAATATCCTAAATCGTTTAGTATAATTACTAAATCCTTTGTTTCTTCTGCTGTCTTTTTATAAACTAGTTTTCTTAATAAAGACTTATATACTGCTATCTCTATATGTTGTAAGGTTAATAATTTACTCTGATTTTCTATTATTTTGTCTGTGGTATCAGCTAATTTACCACTTGTCGCTAATGAATGGCAATTAATCTTTTCTGTTACTTGATTTGATTCTGATTCATTATTGTGAATATTTTCCTTTTTTATTCCAATATTTACTATCTGCTCTACTTCAGACCTTACTTCTTTTATCTTAGCACCAGGATTTTGTATATTTTCATTTTGAGGCTTTAGTTGATTTGCAAGAGTTACTTGAGAAGAGTTTCTACGAAGTAGTTTTTCGCGTGAAACACCTAAAAATAAGCGTACAGTTATATTATAAAAACTCATTGGCTCAATTGAAATTACTTTAATATCATTAAATTAGTTAAAAGTTTTTCTATTTTTCGAATTTAAAAACGTGTATAAGTATTGTATAAAAACTATTATATAAAGTGTTACATAAAAATAATAATGAACAATAAGTAGATAAGTATTATATAAAAAAATTTATAAAGTTATTTTAGTTAAAAAAAATAGTTTTTATATAAAGTTTAATGTTATACAATAACATATTTATATATTTAAAAAAGGTTTTGTAACCCTAACTTTATGTACTTAGTAAACTTAACAATATGAAAAACATCTTGTAATTATTGTTACTCAAGAGAATGCAAGTAAAAGTACTATTTAACTTTACACTCAATTTAGTTTCCAACTGACTGGAAGATAAATAAAATGTGACTGGAAGATAAGTAAAATTAAATTGGCTGGAAGATTAATAAATTTAAGTTCAATTGGAAGTTATGACTACATTTCACCATGCGAGAAATTGTAGCAGGTATAGCAAGAGAAAAATCTATTTTCTTGATTATTCAATCTCGGTTTATATAGCTTTTTTAATAAATACAATAAAAGCAATACTCTTTTTAAATCAATCTTTATAAAAAAATAATAGTTCTTTAATCAAAAAAATGCCTGTCAGTTAATATCTTGGTTAATGTTTTTGCCAATTTCAAGTCCAGCGGATAAAGAGATGTTATTAATTTTAAGTAATTCTAGTGGATTAGCTCTGTGGGGAGTGCTACTTAAAATAAAAAACATTATTGTCAATCTTTTTTTTTTTATGCGTGTAAACAAAAGACAAGCTCGATTTTTATTTGACCTAGATAAAAAAGACGTGCTTTAAAAATTATTCGAATAATAATTTCAAGTTTTTAAAATCCTCACTTTAATTTTGCGCGACAACATTTTTGAACTTAAAAATTACCCATATATATATATATATATATATATATATATATATATATATATATATATATATATATATATATATATATATATATATATATATATATATATATATATATATATATATATATACAAGGCCGGCGCGATAGGGGGTGTGGGGGGTGTGACACCCCCCCATCAATGATTTTTAGTCGGCAAACTGGACCCTTAGTCAGCAAATTGGACCCTTAGTCGGCAAATTGTACCTAATTAGTCGGCAAATGTGGGCTCCCTTTCGATATAGGTTAGACAGTCGGCAAATGTCGTCATGACAGTCGGCAATTTTTGGAAAACGAGGACCTTTTTTTTTTTATTTTTTTTTTAGTCGGCAAAAGTTGTAATGACACCCCCCCACGTGACACTTACTCGCGCCGGCCCTATATATATATATATACATATATATATATATATATATATATATATATATATATATATATATATATATATATATATATATATATATATATATATATATATATATGTATATATATATATATATATATATATATATATATATATATATATATATATTTATATATATATATATATATATATATATATATACTTTTCGTTTCCATTAATGTGTCACAGTACACATTACGCCATATGTTTTGTATTACAATTAAAACAGTACATATATAGAGAGAGAGAAAGAAAGTAAATCAACTTGTGTGCATTAATGTTTTTAACCTAATCCCATATAGTAAAATATAAAAGAAGTTTGATTGTTAGAAAAAATATTACTTTTTACAATGCGCTTAGAACAAATGACCTCTATTAATAAACTAGAGAACTATAGCCCTGGAAATATAAAAACGTCGGCTACTGGCGTGTTCCCTATGTTTGCATCCTATATTTTTGAATTTTTGCCAGTGCTTGCTTTTACGTTTTCTTTAATATGTATTTTTTGAGTTGTTTTTTGATAAGAGTGTATATAAAATTTATCAATAACATATATATATATATATATATATATATATATATATATATATATATATATATATATATATATATATATATATATATATATATATATATAAAAATAAATATAGTATATCAATAGTTGTATATATATAGTATATCAATAGTTGTACATATATGTATATATCAATATACATATATATACATATATGTATATTGATATATACATATATGTATATATATGTATATATCAATATATATATATATATATACATACATACATACATACATACATACATATATATATATATATATATATATATATATATATATATATATATATATATATATATATATATATATATATATATATATATATATGTATATATATTATATAAATTTATATACCAGCTCAAACTCACTTGCACCAGCTAAATGTTGTCAAATCACCTTAAAAATTAAGATAAATTTAATTTACAAACTTTTTATCAATAGTACAATAGAATAGGCTCGGCATAAAGCTCTACATTTTTTAATCTAATATTATAAGAGAACAGGTAGGTTGTCAGACTAAACTTAACTTTAGAATGTTCTGACCATAATAAGAAGTGGATTGCCCAACTGGATTTTTCCTTGTAGGTTTTATGTTAGGTTAAACAGATAAAGTTAGCTTCTTCTTTAATACCATTGGATTACTGGTGTAATTTGTAAACAAAAAAATTTGTAGTAAAATGATAAAACTAAAAACTTTCATAAACCATTTATCTTTTGGTTTTAACGACCCTGAACTTCTAAATTGATAAGGTCCATTCTTGTTTGTTTCCATCTATTAAACGTTTCTCTTTCAAATGACTAGACATAAATGACATGGTTGTGTCTTTGATGACAGAATGAGCTCTCATTTGTGCCTTGTTTACATAGTTAACCAACACTCGCTCCCCTGCTTTGGTCAAAAAGTGTAAGGGCTCGTTTTTTTGACCGTTGCGGTTTTTACACTTATCTTACCCCTCGAGGTTTTTCTAGGAATCCCATATTGCTTTGATGTATTAGTTGGTTTTGATGAATGAAATGCGGTTGATTTGTTTTTTCAGATTCAGCTTGAGCTTGGTTCTGATCAGCTTAATCTGCCAATAACAGTGACTCAATAAAAAACTTATTTACCTTTTATTTGAAAATACTTTTGGGCGGAATTTATCTTCAAAAAAAATTTAGCTTTGCAACCGTCAATGATCGTGCAAGCTTACAAAACGTTTATAATTATCCAAAAAGAAATGTTGTATGCATTCATCACAATTGTGAAAGTAATATTTCTTTAAAATAAATGTCTTATTAATCATACTATTAAAAAAAAAATTATAAAATAATTGGCTTGATTAGGAAAAATATCGTAATTGTTTAATTATATGCTTTAATTTTTCTCAAATTTTTATTAAAAAAAAAAACGCTGTTTATAATGATTTGTCAATTGTATTTAAAGTATATTATTCTGCGTTTTTTATTTTTAAGATCTCGAAGACGATGCTCTTTTCAAAGGTCACACTTTTGATTACGGTCAAACCTTTGATAATGTTGGTGTTTCTCAAAAACCCTGTATGTATGTTTAAAAACAAGATAGTTTATTAGCATACTCTTTAAAATTGATAAACATTATTACAAGGTATGTAATTTAATGAATGCTACGCAAGCAATGTTGTGTTTACAAATATTCTTAACAATAAACAACTATTGATATACTATCATACACCACGTTTTTTATAAATAACTAAACAAAAAAAAATTTGTTACTTGAAAATAGTTGTTGTTATTAAAAACCCGGTTGTTGTTACTAAAGTTCTTTTTACTGGAAACCAATTGTTGTTATTAAAAACACAGTTGTTGTTATTAAAAACACAGTTGTTGTTACTGAGAATAATTAAATACTTTGAGAGTTCTGCTGTGATAGTGTTTATGTTTCTTTATGTTTTTATGATTAGAATTAGAAGGCATCTACTAAGTACTTAAAATTTATCAAATTAAAATTTGTTTAAATAGGTTTTTTTATATTTTTAATTAGAAAGATCACATTTTTAATAAAAATAAATATTTGACTATAATCTTTTTATTTTAGTTTTTATTATTGCATGATGGTTGGGTTATCTTTCTTCTTCAACTGCAAATATTATGTATTACAAACATGTCTAAATTTATTATTGTTATTTTATTTCTTTTGTTCTTCCTTGGTATTCTACGATTGCTTCTTAATTTATTTTGTCTACTGTTAAAATATAACTTTGATTTAGTAAGTTTTAATAATATAAAATTTATGTTGATCATCACCTAATAGTTTAAAAAGATTTAGTCGCAATCAATGTAAGAATAATTTTTCCCTCTGGTCAAATTTAGAAATTTGTTTGTACTGGTAATTATTATATTTTTGCTATTTTCTGTAGTAGTTGAATATCTTTGCAATAAGTGTCTTTTATTTCAGATTTCGACTATTTATAACAACGCTCTAGAAACAACAACAGCAACAGGTAAATAACTTTGTTGTGTTTATTAGTTTGTTGTGATATCTTTTCTTCATTTATCATATCATAATTGTTTTTTTGTTTTATATTTATCTCATAATGCTTTTTCAGAACAAACTGCAATATTGCAGAACAAACAGAGGGCCCTCATTCTATAAGGCACAAAGAAAGGGGACCCAAATTTTAGACAAAAGCCCTTACTCTTTTAGTATTTTTGTATTTGTTAATCTACCAATTGTTAATTGGTAGATTACATCATGTAGATGAGGTTAAATGTTTTTTGTTAATTTTTCTTTTTATTATTTTTTTTGTTGTTATTTTGTATAAAAAGTAAATAATAAAAAATTAATAAGTAAAAGTAAAAGAAAATAAAAATTGTTTTCTTAAATGATGTTTTATTTTAAAAAATAGTTTTCATTCTTTTTTATAAACAAGAATATGTTTTGTTTTATTTGTAAATAAATTTTGTTAAAAAGTTATGTTTTTGAAAGTTAATGCTTTTTTTTAACTTTTATAAAGGTTTATATATTTTCCTTTTTTCTAATAATTAATGTTTTGCTAAACGTAAAAATTTTTTTAAACAAATATTCTTTTATTTTTCATTTTATTTTTTCGGTATAATTAAAAATAACTATAGGAAAGGGCGGTGTGGAACAGACTGACCGATACCCATGTTTTACGCGCCAGGACAGCTAGTGTTAATAATTACTGCAAGAAAATTGCGAAATGCATTGGAATTCTCTATAAAGCAAAAAATATAAGTAAACACCAGTTAGCACAATTATATTACTCATTTATTTATTGTCACGTAAACTTCGCAAATATAAAATGGCGAAGCACTCATAAAACCATGCCAAAATTTCTTTATGCTCATCTGAAACACGCAGCTCGCGCAATAAGTTTTAAAAATTATTTTTCTCACACGAAACAACATTTAAAGAAATATTTTAAATGTATATTAACTAAATGCCTTATTTATGTTTAAATGTAGAGAAAATTTGTTGCCAAATTTATTGCGAAATCTTTATTGTGTCAAACTTGAAAATAAATATAATCTTCGTATTAATAACAATTTTATTGCTCCTGTTTGCCATAAAAGCAAAGACCAGTATTTTGTCTCCTACCAAGGTCTTATCTCTGAAACAAAATTGTCAAACTAAATTTCGATTTTTCTACGACACTGACTTTTTCTTCATTCAGAAACTTAAAAAAATTACACTTTCAATTGAAAATTTGTTTTTAATTGTTTTTTTTTTTTTGTATATTGTTTCGTTTAATCATTTATCTTAGTTTTTTAAATTTTTTGCATGAAAGTGTATTATTATTTTACTACAGACATTTTATTTTTATCAAAAATTGACCGTAAATTATAAAGGGCTTCATGATAAGATCCCCATAATCTTCTAAAAGTCCTCGTGTTGCTAATGTAAAAAATTGTAAAATATATCTGGTTATTGTAATACTTTTAAACGCCAAAAAAGGAGATAAGAATTAATATGTTACATGTAAAATAAATTTAACCACTAATAAATTTACCGCTAATAAAAAAAACACTAAAATAAATTAACCACTAAAATATAGTCGGTGGTAGAAAGAAGCGCGCCTTTTAGAGCTTTCAAAACCTAATTTTGGCTAAAAATAAATTTTCAGCTCCAAAAAACCGCTATTTTGATGAATATGTTCTCATAAAGTTTTCTTTTTTATACATAGTATTGCTTTTTTTTTGCACGTTCTGTAATATTTTATTAGTTTCTGATCTACCCTAGTATACCGAAGATACTTCTGCTTGTTGTTTCAAAAAAGAAGTCCTAATCAGGCTTCGACTTTTATAAAATACTTTTGTGTTTTATTTAAAAGCATAAACTACATTTATAAAAAAGTAATTTGAATACCTTCTTTTCCTCTTTTTTTTTTTTTTTTATGCTTAAAATATATTGAGGTGTAATCATTAATATAAATACTAATCTTTTTTTTTTATTAAGTTCACAGTTTTTATGTTAGTCATTCATATATTTTATTAATTTTACTGTTTGTCACTTTTATAATCACTTTGATTTCATCAATTTCATTAATAAATTTTAATAAATTTATGCAGCACTTGTGCTAAAAAATAATATACAGAAATGATCAACATGATACGTATAACTAAAAAACATTGCTTTCACGAGTATTAAAAATGCCTGCTACAACAAGAACAACAAGAACAAGAACAACAACAACAACAACTACTACTGCTACTACTACTACTACTACTACTACTACTACTACTACTACTACTACTACTACTACTACTACTACTACAACTACTTCTACTACTACTACTACTACTACTACTACTTCTACTACTACTACTACTACTACTACTACTACTACTACTACTACTACTACTACTACTACTACTACTACTACTACTACTACTACTACTACTACTACTACTATTACTACTGATAAATGAAAGCATCATTGAAATATAGTATTTAAAAAATGAGCGTTTATATAAAAAATTACCTATAACAGAACTAATTTTAAGGCAATCTTCGCGATTTTTTTCCATTTTGTTTAAATGCAGCTATGCTAAAAAATGATATAAAGTATTGGTGAATGTTTAAAAAATAGTTTGAAAAAACAAAACAACAAAAAAAAATTATACCAAATTTGAAACTTTTATAATTTTGACTCACACAAATAAAAAGATACTCCTTTTTTAATCTTGACAAATAAAAAAAAATGTATAGAAAAGACGTTATTATTTGTGTTTATTTACATTTATACACTTTTTTAACATTTAAGTGTATTTGATGAAAATGTTTTCAACTTTTAAAAATGGAATTATATAAAGTATTTGAAAGCAAAACCTTGTTTATTCAGATGTTTTTATTTGTCGAAAATACTAAGTATGAATTGTTTTCATAAAACAATAATGAACATTTTTACCATTAAAGGTGAAAAACTCATGATACGAAATATGACACTTCAATTAAAAGTTACGTAAATCACATTGTTAATAATCACGTGTAAATGATTTACTATACTAGGGTTAAGAGTTTGTTATTGTTTTTATGCAAAAGAAAACGTTAAAAATCTTTTACACACGTTGTTTTTTAAATAACCCAACTATAATTTTCAATTCATGTCTTGAATCACATTAAGAAAAAAATAGAGAATCAGGAAGAAAAAAAACTTCTGAGCAAGTATTTGTCGTTTAATCACTAAATCGCGGTCATAAACAAAAAATAGACTAAACTGGCTGCTGCGTTGCAAACTAATATAAAGCATCGCTTGTCGCTTTAACATTATTTTTAATAGTTAGAACGCTTTCCACTTAGACAAACTTTTTTTTTTTTTTTTTTTTTTTTTAATTTTGCTTACATTAAAATGTCAAAGTACAATTATATATGCCATATATATCGTGTTACAATTAAATTCGTGTTACAACATTTATCAACTAAATTAAAATAAGAAAAAACACGGACATACATATATAAATATAAGCATATATACACATACAAATGCGTAGATGCGCACATACATAAACTGCTTTCAATGAAACATAAGCTTAATGTTACAAACTTAATGTTCATTCTTTTAAAAACAAACTTAATGTTCATTCTTTTAAAAATTTTCAATGTTTTTTAAATAAGGAAAGTACTTGTAAACTTTAATTAAATTAAAATATTTTTATTTATTTTTTGTCGCTTAAGAACATATTTATTTATAAAATGAATACATTACATCCACATATAACAAAACTAATCGCTTGAAACTAATTGAGCAAGAAGAAGACAAATTTATTTTTATTGTCGAACTCTATTTAAAACATATTTTACAAAAACGTAACATATTACTACATATTAACATATTAAACGTAACATATAATTACAAAAGCATAACATATAAGTTACATTTTTGTAAAATCATAACAAAGTTTGTGAAAAACTAAAGTAAAATAAAAAACAAGAAAGGGTTTAAAACCCATAAAATGTTTATGAAATAAATATTATTTTAAAAGTAACATCTTCACTTGCCGATATTGAAACAGCAGATGAAGCTGTTGAAATAGAACATAAGTTTGATGATATGTTATTTAAAAGACAAGCAAAGTTCAAACGACGTGAGAGGTACTTGGTTATAAGTTATGGCAGAAAACGGTGACGATTATATATAGTATATACAGTATAACAAAAAATACATTTTACAAATTGCATAAATCACGGGTCGGCAACCATTTGAGACGAAGAGCCAAAAGTTACAACTTACAAAATTTTTCGGTTTTTAAAGAGCTTCCAACATCATTATTTTAATCTTCTATATAATATTGCCGAACTTAATAGTTTTAATAGTAGTAGTAGTGTCCCTTGGAGCGTATTTGACACGAAACCCTTGGCAGCCATTGCAACCGAGGTATTGGCAAGAAAGAGTCGCAGCACTTTAAGAAACGTGAACGAATATCTAACGTACGTAAACTTTAAACTAAGTAATGTTAAAGCATATGTTAAAACAAACTGAAACATTTATCACGTTTTACAGTTTGATTTTTACTTGAAAATTACATTGCGTCAACCTCTCCTTAATTTTGATCTAACATTTTTTTCCTCAAAAAAATTACTACATTATTATAAAATCTACACTTGATGATATACCGGTGTAGCTCAAGTGGATAAGGCGGCGAACTTCTGAACAAGGAACTAGAGGTTCGACTCCTACCAAAGGCGGCTATTTTTTTTAATTTTTTTAATTATTTTAAAACACAAAATACTTTCGAAGTTTTATAAAGATTATATACAAACATATGTAACGTAACGATATTATGCACTCACAAAAGAAAAGATTTTAAGAATGCTAAAACTTCATAAAACATTAAAAAAAAAAAAAAACATCACCAGGAGAAAAAATATGTTGCGTATCTATGATAATTGAGACACTTATGTTATTAATGTGCGAATGTAATTAGTCCTAATAAGCTGCGGGTGGTCTGAAAAAAAATATGTCTGAAACTTAATAAAGAAAAAACTTAACAAGACAGCCCTGCTACTTCATAAGATGCTGCTGTGGAGGCAAAAAAAAAAAAATGCCTGTAGCTAGATAAAACATTAAAACTTTCTTTTGACAATTAAAAGTTTATTTTGCTACATTAACTTTTTTACTATAAATATATGCAGCAACTGTTTTTCAAAACGCCTTAATATGCTTATGACGTAATTCAAAAAAAAACCCAATTAAAAATAAAATTGTTTAGAAAAACTCTTCGTAAAACGTTTTTTGAAACGAATAACTTTTATTTAGTTTTTTTTTTCTTTTGTGCAACTTTCTTTTCAACAAATTTCTTTACCTTTCAGAATATGACCATTTTTAACAATGCCATAGAAAAAATATCAGTAAATTGATTAGTAGTATTTCAATTATATTAATTAGATTAAATTATTTATATTAAATTATATATTATATATATTAAATTAAATAGATAAATAAATTGATATTCAGTTTATACATGGGTATTTTTTTTTTTTTTATACTTAGTGACAAAATAGACTAATTAGATAAGTCGTTAAGTAGAATGCTAAGAATATATTTATGGCGGTTAATATTGTTAAGGGTGATTAATAGGCAAATAAATTAAAAGCTAATCAGGGCTTTGAATAAATTATAAACTAATCAGGGAAGTTTTATTGGTAAACCTAATAAATAGAAAGATAACATATAATTCAGGTAGACATTGTTTTCACTTTTTCGCCAAACTTTGATATCTTTGATATTAAAAAATATGACCTTTCCAATAATTATAGATGGTAGTGTATTAACTTTTTTTTTCGGAACCACAATCCGTTATGATTTGTATTTTATCAATGTGAACGAAAGTCTATTCAAAATCTAAATATGTAAACTTTAAGTTCTTTAATTATCAATCAGTATAATTATAAAGTAGATGACATCAAATTCTACCGATTTATTTTTACTTAATAATTTCATTGCGACAATATCTCTTTATTTTAAAGCATTAAATTTTGTTTTTTAAAGTTTAATAAGTTTTCTGTTTATTAAATAGTGTAAAAAGATGATATAGCATTCCACAGCGATTGAAGTGCTTCGCTTCGGTTCAAAACCTTTTGCTTACACAATTTTTTTTTTAAATCCTATCCAGTTTTCTAGAAAACAAAGAAAAACAAGTTTAAATGCATATAGATGTTATACGCATTACATAAAAATAAAGATATAATATACTATAAGAAACCAAACGTAGAGAATTTTTTAAAACGTTTTTAAAAATTTCTAAAAACATAAAAACGCTGTTGGAAATTTGTTACGCATATGTCATGATAGAGATACTTATGTTTTAGGTAATTAGTTAAAACTGCGAGTTCATTACGCATTAAAGAGATAAATTTCTTTCTTATATATATAAAAAAAAGGTTTTACATGCAATCTGAAATTTTTATTAAAACTAACTGGTCAAGAGTCCTAAAAAGTACGGAAAGGTATGAAAAAAAAAGTTGTAATCTAAAATCTAAAAAAAAAAAATTAGTTACTCCAGAAGGTGACAAACAGAAAACCCACAAAATTTCGCCTAACCCGCTAATAGAAATGCTCGAATATTAAGATATAAACAAATATTAAATGATTTTTGTATTACGAAACGTACGCCAACTCTTAAACCACTATTTTTAGTTATCTAATTAAATCCACCAAATCCGTTAATAAAAACAGCTTAATTAATAGATTCAAAACCATCTGATTTTTGTATTATTATATGTGCGCCAACTGTACTCTAAAACCAATAAAACTCGGCCATGTGCTCTTCATATCGATTATAACAATTGCAAATCGAGGGACGACAAGTAAGTTGTATCTACAAGTTTAATTATTGTAGTCTTCATTTAAAAAATTAAACTTATTTTATAATTACCATGTTAATATGTTTGAAGTTAATATGTTTTTGACCCAAGAATAAACATTAAGATTATTTTTTAGAAATGAGCAGCCAAGATACAGAAGGTATTCTTTTAATTTTGTATAACATTAAATAATTAAAGAGATAAAAAGAGATGATATGTCAATAATACTGAGATATTTAGCTTATTATTTTATTAAGAAATTACATTAAGATAATTTTGTATATCTTTAGGCGACGAAGAAGTTTCTGCATTTTTTCGAAGTAAGCCATATATATATACTATATATAGTAGCAGTTACATATGTTCTAAAAGTGGCGGAGCTGTACTTGATTTACGGTGTGATTAAAACGATGATTTAATTTAGCCGTTTTTAATTAAAATCAATCAAGATATGCCGCCCTCCCCTAACCCCGTGAATCAAGTACACCCCCCTAAAATTTAACTAAAATTAAAAAATATATAAGTTAATTTTTAGAAGTTTAAAAGGGTGGACCCAAAACTCAGATTTTGTTTATTCCGCTATTTTGATTGATGTTTTTGTTAAGCAGTGAACCTTAAAAACGCGTATAAGCTTTATTTAAGGTATTTAAGCTATAATTTTATAAAACGTGTTTAAACTAAAATTGACTTTTAAGTCTTCTAACTACTAAACTTTTACGTAAAATGAAACTTTTTGTCATTTACTGAATGTGTAAAATTATAAAACTGTGCAACAGTTTTATAATTTAAGACAAATCTTATATGTTTAATTAAAAAAGTAAATATTTTGAAAATTAATTTTGTCTATTTATATATTAGATGTTCAAGAGATCAGAGCCGAAGAGCTCTTGCCAAGTAAGCTAATTTTGTATGAGAAGGATATGTTACAAAGATATATATTTCTTTTTTTAATGTTTATATAATATATATAATGTT